GGCTGGATATGCATCTATGTCGAATCCTATTCCCGTGGATCCCTCCAACTGCATACCAAAACGCTGCTCTGGCTATCAAATACCGTACAAAAGAAATGAAGTCTTTCCAAAGATCTTTATCTCAACAAGGTTAATATGATCGCTTTCAGGGTGCAGACAACTGTTTCTTACTTCACCCTGACCTTTGTGTGCTATCCCATGATTATAATGTAATTTTTTACAGTAAAATAATTCACACCTTCGCCCGTGATCCTGATCTGAGGTGTACTTTGTTTCACCTAGAGTCATTGGGCTGACGAGACGATTACTACGCAGCCCATGCCGCTATAGATAGAATAATGAAACACGTCAGGATATATGCAGGAAAAATTAAATTTTACTAATGGCATAGTTGCTACATATACCTGATGGGCCCTGCATTTTCTATCAAGAATGATTTAGTGGATATCCTAGGCCCTTCGCAACTCAACGGTCATTAATTGTAGCAGTCTTGCCAAAAAGATAGAGTGGCACACTAGATGAAACCCACGTTCTTTCTGACTTTATCAATAGTTATGATGACTTTCAAAGCACTTTAAGGTGATTATGGTGTGTTAAGCCCCTCCAACCGAGCATATCAACGTCATAAATTTGTTGAAATTAGTTGGTTACGACATGAGATTCAAGAATATTGGCAGTGAGCGCAATTGTAAAGGCACCTAACATAGTCTTATTTATCCACAAATGAACCCTGTAAACAAGCGCTATTTTCTTTTTCTGTCAGCGTGTTTAAATTGATTCAATTAAAAAGGACAATTTTTTTCCTTTTCTACGAATTCAGCAGATTTTGATGCATACCGAAGGATTTCATAAAGTGAACTTTATTTAGTGCTTGAGAATTTTGCATTCTTCATGTTCATTTAAGAGCTCCTATATCCTTCAGCACTTGTTGTTAGAAGCAGAAATTAGAAGGTCATATAGGCCCTGCTTAGAGCGGTAAAAGACGGAACTTTAGAGGTGTAATTTTATGCCGCGTTTTTTGCCATCTGTCCACCCATCGGCTACGATGCAGCCTAACCGCCAAAGCCGTAGAGAGTACGACCCTGGCGTTTAAGAGCATACACCACGTCCATGGCAGTGACGGTCTTGCGCTTCGCGTGCTCAGTGTACGTGACGGCGTCACGGATGACATTCTCCAGGAAGACCTTGAGCACACCGCGTGTCGCCTCGTAGATGAGCCCAGAGATGCGTTTCACGCCACCTCGGCGTGCCAGACGTCGGATGTCGGACTTCGTGATGCCCTGAATATTGTCACGCAACACCTTCCTGTGACGCTTGGCTCCCCCCTTTCCGAGCCCTTTTCCACCCTTACCACGGCCCGACATTGTCTAACTCGGTTCATCAAAAGCCTGAGTCACAAAGAACACGACAAGAGAGCAGGAGAGAAGGCAGAAACTGTGCGCCGTCAATAAAGAAGGCACGCTCACCACCGATGCTATTTGTACATCTGCATGTAGATGCTGCCCTTGTATCAACCAATCAACACGTTACTGCTGTTCATTTCAACAATTCATGTTTCGTCTTAATTTCATCG